AAAAATGTCAATAGTCGCATAAGAACGTATCAATATATATTTATATAGTTATCAGAGCTTTTTTTATAAAAGCATGGAACGGACAATAAGGAACGCGAATAATTAGGACGCGTTAATTATTATTTTGTTGTTTATTATTAAAAAAAAATATGTGTGTGTGTGTGTGTGTGTTCACGTTCACGATTGATCGACGGACTATTATTAAATGAAACGAATCTAATCTTTTTTTTTTTTATTATTATTATTACATTCATATTATTATTTTAGGAGTGAAATTTTTTCTAATCTTTTGAACACAGTTTAGTGTGGCGTGTAGTAACATCGACAATTCTATCAAATATATATTTATATTTATATATATATATATATATAGATACTATATAGATTTTTATTTATACCGGGTGAGAATAATTAGAAAAATGTATTTTTCAATTAAAAATGCATTACAGTTGTTTATGAGACACATTTCTAAAATTGTATACATATACATATATTTAAATATATATATATATATATATGTATTATATTATAGAACGTAGGATGTTGTTGTAAAATTATTGATAAAATTGTCGTTGTGCTACGATAAGTGATATACAGCTCTGGAGTTTATTTAATTATCTTCGCATTGGTTTCACAATATTTTGCCGTTCAAGTTAACGCAGATTCCAAGTCCAATAAGATTTAAGAACACCCACCATTTTTTTTTTTTTAAGGCATTCCATTGGAAATGCAACGCAATCTCTTCCTTTCTTTATATCTTTCCCTATCTTTATCTCTATCATCTCTCTCGCTCTTAATCTCTCTCTTTCTCTTTTTTTTTTTTTTTGTTATTAATTACCGCAATTATTTAATCTAGTGTTGTCAAGAACGGTCGAGATATCCTCTCTCTTACATTATATATTATATATTGTACAGATTAGGCATTTTCTCCACAATGGTGATGGGTACATTTAAGTACACGTACAATGGGAAAACATTGCGTCTTTTACAGCAGCTTCGCTAAATATTTTTTTTTATCTTTTTTCTTCTTTTCTTGTTTTTATTATTATTATTATTATTATTATATTGCATGAATCGCGCGCGCATTCTTTATTTTTTTTTCTGTTTTTTTTTTTTTTTTTTTTTTCTTCTTTTTTGTTTTTCATTTATTTATTTATTTATTTAATTATTTAATATTTATAATTAATATTATTCCTCTTTTTTCTTTTGTTTGTTTTTTTTTTTTATTTTTTTTTTAATATCTCAAGATAAATGGGTAAGTATTTTCGTTATAAGAATAAANGTGATGGGTACATTTAAGTACACGTACAATGGGAAAACATTGCGTCTTTTACAGCAGCTTCGCTAAATATTTTTTTTTATCTTTTTTCTTCTTTTTTTTTTTTTTTTTTTTATGTCAGCTTTCAAATATTTTACATTTTACAGCTATAAACATTTTTTTTTTTTTCTTCATTTTCTTTATTTCGTTCTTCTTCTTCTTTGTTTTTTATTTATTTATTTATTTATTTATTTATTTATTATTTATTTTTATTATTATTCCTCTTTTTTCTTTTGTTTGTTTTTTTTTTTTATTTTTTTTTTAATATCTCAAGATAAATGGGTAAGTATTTTCGTTATAAGAATAAAGTGTGATCGTTTTTTCTTTTTATTTTTGTTTTTGTCTTTTTTTTTTTTTTAGAATTTACTCTCTGCAACAATTAGGTTATTTATTTTTTTGTTTTTGCTTTTATTTATTTGTTTGTTTGTTTTTTTTTCTTTTCTTTTCTTTTCAAATGATCTTCTCGTGTGTTAAGTCAAATAAGATAGAAATAATTAATATTATATTATATTGTTTTAGCTTAAGTACCACACCTTGTCGATCTATGCCTTTTATTTATTTATTTGGTTTTTTTTTTTTTTTAATAATAAATGATCCATTTTTTTCATTATTAATATCGTAGAAGAGAAGACTCTCTTAAAAAAAAAAAAAAATAATAATAAACAAATCAATTCTGATTTTTCTATCTTGCGTTTGCAAAGTGCGATACTTTTTTTTTTATTTTTTATTTACCCCCCACCCCACCCCTCCTAAACGTCGTCGACAACGAAAATAAATTGATTGTTTGTTTTTTTCTTTTGGTTTTTCATCTTTTCCTCGTTATTAATAAAAAAACAAGACTAAAAAAGCAAAAAAAGTCAAATAATGAATTGATTTTTTTTTTCTTTCTTTTTGTTTAAACATTAAACGGATATATACATGGGTGCTATTACAATGCTTGGTATGTGTTTGTGTGTTTGTTTGTTTGTTTGTTTGTTTGTTTATGTGTTGTGTAATATTGTATGTAAGATTTATCTCGGAAAAAATCTTATGCGCCATTTTGTATTGCACGTAAATTCCTCGGGAAAATAGCTGCATCATTTTTATCACACAGCTTATTTATATTAGTATAATCTCAACGCGAAAGGAACCATGTTCATCATCATCATCATCATCATTATCATCATCATCATCATCATTCTCATTATCATCATCATTCTAATCATCATTCTAATCATCATTAATCATCATCATCATCATCAGAGATCGATCGGTTTAATAATAAACGATAAAACATTCCAATTCAGTCGCACGCTGAAATATATTTTTATTTCGTCGATCGTATAACGTGATGTTGTGTTGTACTAATATGTAAGTCTGTGTGGATTGGCCTCCAGAACTCTCTAACAAAATAGATCGATAGTTATTCCGAAGTATTATTATTATTATTTGTATATTATAAAATCAAACGAAAGATAATAAAAAAAGAAAAGAAAAGAAAAAAAAAGCAAACAGGAAAACATAAATCAAAAAAGTTAACACTAGATATACCCAGAGACGACTTGTCATTTTGAATGATCGGAGAGCGCCATTTTAATTCAAAATTTCAACTTCGTGTTAAACACTTGATTTCTGTAAATAATTTAAAAATATCTATTAACATTATTATTGTTACAACATTTTTTTTTGGTTATTTTTTAAAAGTAAACAAAGACTGGAAGCCACAAAAAGTATTTTTTCTTTTTTTTTTTTTTTTTTTTTTTTTAATTATACACCAGTCATTTTGATTAGTGTGGTAGAAAATGGTGGTATATCTAGTGTTAAAAGAAGATGATCTCAGAGTATATATTTTATACAATTAATACAATATTATTTAATTATTATTCAAATGTGATTGAAAAATTTGACAATATATATATATATATATATATATATATATATATATATATATATTGCGCAAAAATGTATTATTATTATTATTATTAATTTATTTATTATTTCTGTATTCGGTAATACTCGTTCTTTAATGTTAGAGGGTGTACAGTTCTTACAATATAAACGCTTATTATTTTGTCCTATGGAATTCAATATGGGTTAAGTATCAAAAATAAATATACAACTTTCGTAAATGAAAAGTGCCACGATTTAAAGCACCTGAATTATTTTATCTCTCTCTCTCTCTCTTTCTCTTTCTCTTTCTATCTTTCTCTTTCTTTCTCTCTGATTGCTTATTTTAGACACGTGGGATGGTATTTAAACATCGCCCATTGGCAATGACTCTCATGTTTGGTTGCATTTCCACTGGTAGGCCATTTGAAAGAGTGTCGGGTACAATGTCACTTGTTTTATTTATCAGGCGAGGAAACCCATATACAATTTTAAGTATACCAATCAGTATGAATATTATTTTTAAAGTTCATTTGAAAAAGATCGTTTTTTTGTTGTTGTTGTTTGTTTTATTTTATTTTATTTTATTTTTATTTTGTTTTGTTTATCCTTTAACTTTTCTTTCTTCTCCTCTTTTAATTCCTCCCGTTATCCTTTTCCTTATTATTATTACCTTTTTTTTTTGTTTACTTTGTTATATTTTTGTTGATTTTATTTAGTTTAAATCTACTGAATACAGCAAGAATTTTTCTGTCCATTTTTGAGCTTCAATCGCGATTTGGGACGATACTTCTCAAGGTAGGCCAGCTGTTTTGCATTAATAGCGCCTCGCCTTTTCCTACAAGAATTATTTCAATTATTATTATTATTATTATTATTAATTGAAAACAACAAAAAAGAAACGATGATAATTAAATTTTCACAATATCAAATAGAGAGAAATGTTCACAAATATTATTGATTAATTATTATTGTTATTATTATTTGATTGAATTATACTAACTCTCTGATCAGAGCAACAGCATCCTCGTATTTGAGACCCAATTCGATGAGAGCTAGGGCAACTAATACAGGTGCTCTGCCGAGTCCTGCTACACAGTGTACCGCTACACAAGCATCAGGTGTTTCACGGAATCGATTTTTCAATAATTCGAACCATTCATCGACTACCTGTAATTATAACATTCTCGTATAAAAACCACAGTTCATAAGTGTGCCGATAATTATGATAATTGGATTAATTAAAAGTCAACAAATTATGAACAAATTCAGATTTTTATGATTATCTTTATATATCACACACAAATATTTGTGTATTTTAATCATAATTTTATCGACACATTCAATACATGAACACATCTACATGAAAAATTAGAAATATTTTTGGATATATAAACATGGTGGTGGTATTCATATTTTACCAACGTTGTAATTGGAGATTCATATTTTGAAATAATACAAAAATATTGATTGATGGTTAGCAATGGTTTTCATTGTTTTTTTTTCTTTTTTTTTTTTTGGTAAAACTCTTGGGAATATTCTACCACCATAATGAAATAAATTAAATTTAATGACCTCGTTTGGTGGAAACGTCCCATCGTCGAATACCAAATCTATGACATTGATCCCTTCTGTCTTAAGTTCTTCAACTTTGTACGTTGGTTCACAGACTCTCACTACTTCTCTCACATTGTGCTTTTTCAGTTCCTATATTAAGAAAAAAAAGAAGATTACAATTTTTGTTTTGTTATATTATAATACAAAATATATATTATTTTTTTTTTTATTTATATTGCAAGAAAGTAATTTCGATTTTCTAATATGAAATAAAAACTCAATTGTTTCTATACAAAAAAAAAATGTTATTTAATATATAGTTGTATTATTTAATTAATAAATTACTATTAAATAATAATTTCTATACAAATGATCATTATTTTAATTAAATATAACTAAATTTTATTAACTTTCTATACAAAAAGTGAATTTTTCATTAACATTAGATATAAAATAAAGAAATTCATTGGATGACGTTGAGTTTGAATCAAATTTCGTTTGATTCATATTTACAATACAATAATTAATAATTGTTACGAAATAATTATAAATAAATAATTAATTAATTAATTAATGTAAAAAAAATGTATATTATGTAATATCAATTAATGTAAAATATTTGTAATAATATTAACACTAGATATACCACCATTTTCTACCACACTAGTCAAAATGACTGGTGTATGTATACAAAAAAAAAAATGCTTTCTTGAAACTTCCAGTCTTTATTTATTCTTTACAAAATAACAAAAAAAAATGTTTAACAATAATAATTATTTTAATAGATAAATGGATTTATATAAATATTAAATAACAAAACGCATAATTATGTACAATACTCAAATGTTACATGAAGTAGACCATTTTGAATTAAAATGGCTGGGGGGTGGGAAGGGTCTGGTATATTTAGTGTTAAATAATTAAAAAATTCTAACACATATTAACAAAAGAATAACTAACAAACAAACTACTTATTGGTGTAAGCCGAAATGACTTTCTTGCCAACTTAATTATATTATAAATTAAACTTACTTGAATAAAAGTATGAATGGTCTGATCATTGGGCCGATCAGTGATGAGGAACTTCATGTTTTTGTATTCAATCTCGGCGGGCGCCGGCCTGATATCCTTTACCCTCATGTTGCTCATTTCCTCCTTACAACTACAAGTGTATTAATTTATCCTCCTTCTTCTTTTTCCTCACTCACACTTATTTAACGTGTGTGCTTATTAATTATCCTTTTTTTCTCTCCCGTTTTTTTTCTTGTTTCGTTTTTTTTTTTTTGTTGAAATCTTTTTTTTCTTTTTTTTTTTTTGCAAAAAATGTGCCACACACGGTAATGCGAAGCTGGGCTTAAATTTGAAACAACTTAGCCCATAGATGTCAGTCTTATAAAGTTGTATTTTTTTTTTTCATTTAACTAATCGAATACTTTGTTAAATCTTCTTTTTTTTTTTTGTTTTGTCGTTAATAATTATTAATTATTATTTTTTTTCTTCTCTTCTGTTCTTCTTTTCTTTTCTCTTTTACAGAGGACAGAACAGTGACGAGGGGATGGGAGTAAAATGGGATGTTTTACATGTGTAGATTTTAAGGGGGAGGGAAAAAAAGGGGATGATTTGTTGAACGCGAATTTCGACGAAGGATTAGGGGAGGGGATATTGGTGAGGACTAAGTTACATTAGGCGGTGTTGATATGCGATTTTATTATTCCCACCAATGGGATGTATCCTTCTTTCTCTTCGACTAATATTCGGAAGATTATCTGTAAATGTGATAAATGAACAAATTATAAGATTTATAATAATATAATGTAATATATAATTAAATAATTAACACGTTAGTATCGCCATTATTTGGGTGAAGGGTGGGGGGTTCGTAAGGGGCCTTACAACTCAAAACATGAATGACGTTTTTCTTCTACAAATACTGTAATATAAAATATACAAAATGAAATATATTATACAATATATTATACTTTTTTGATTAATTTAAGTTAAGAATTGTTTTACAGTTTAGAGGAGAGGGCAAATTTGGGTCTCATGTGAGAAACTTCAATCAAATCATGGTGAATCATTAACGTGTTAATATGAATTTATTGATTATTTTGATATTTTACCTATTTGGCAATAAAGTGCTCCTGGATCAGGCGCGAATAATAATCGGTGACTATGGCGTTTGCATTTATTAATGTAAATTAACAATTGTTTCTATTAAATTCTTCTAATGTCTTGCGTGATGACTAGCTGATGATTTTTATTTTTCTTTCTTTCTCTCTAACAATACACACTTTACGATGATGATTCAAATAACTTTGAATATCGTCGTCGATCACTTTTCCCCAGGATGATGTTAACCTATCTCAATATGTTTGTTTGTTTGTTTTCTTCTTTCCTTCCTACCTTCCAACCTTCCAACCTTCCAACCTTCCTTCCTACCTTCCAACCTTCACTCCACGCTTAAATGATACCTGATGGTAGGTGGTGTTGTCCACGATGCTTTGACGTATCTCTCTATTTGTGTTGAGCCTGGCAGTACTCTGCGCTATCCAGCTGAAACTCCATGTATGTGAGGATGCACTCACTAGGAAACTGTAATGACAACAACAAAAAAAAGAAAATTAAGGTTAGTTAAATATTCAATACAAATTTTAGGTATTCAATCAATTTTATATTAACAATCATAACCTAACCAACAATTTTTGTTTATAACAAATTTCTAATGTGAGTAATCAAATGACCTTTTAAAGAATATAACCTATAAATAATATAATATAAATAAATATATGTATTGTATAGTACAACTATTGTACTATATATATATATATATAATAATAATAATAATATTAATAACCTATAAAATGAAACTCCATGTATGTGAGGATGCACTCACTAGGAAACTGTAATGACAACAACAAAAAAAAAAGAAAATTAAGGTTAGTTAAATATTCAATATTAATTTTAGGTATTCAATCAATTTTATATTAGCAATCATAACCTAACCAACAATTTTTGTTTATAACAAATTTCTAATGTGAGTGATCAAATGACCTTTTAAAGAATATAACCTATAAATAATATAAATTATCTATAAAATAATATAATATAAATAAATATACGTATTGTATAGTACAAATATTGTATATAATTATATATTATATATTGTATATAATTTTTATATTTTTGTATATATAATATAATAATTTATAATTATAATATATAATATTTTATAATTTTGTATATATAATATAAACATACAATATATAATATATACAATAATAATATAATTGTTATATTACTATTGTATATATTATATATTGTATGTAGTATTGTATTATATATATAATAATAATATTAATAACCTATTAAATAAGATCTATAAAAAATATAAATATACCTTATAATGCGGAATAAGATTTTAATTAATAGGTTATGATAATAAATTATTTTCTTTTGTTTAGAAATTTATATAAAAAATTAATGTAAATCACATATATCCCAATGTAAAACAAGATTTTTTAATCAATTGGTTATGTTGGTTATGGTAACTAATTATATATATATATATTTTTTTTTATCTAAAAATTAATATAAGTTTTTATAAGTTTTCCATACTTATGTTAGTTGTTTGAATGTTTTAATTGAAATATTTTTTGTTTTATTTTATTTTGTTTTGTTTTGTTTAAAAAGTAATACGTTAGAATAAACGAGAATTGTATCCATTTAAACTTTTAGGCCTTTTTGCGTTGTGTTTGACTACTTTCAATCCAAGTTATAAAGTTTTGCATTGGTGCCAAAGAAAACAGACAGACGATTTAGTCTAACATAAGTTTATATATCACCCCAAGACGTCGTGGAAGAATTGTGTCCTGGTTTCCGTTTCAGTTTAAACCTCCCTCTTGGTTTCTATATCTTTGGGTGCGTCCAATGATCGTTTGAAAGAGGAATGTCTAGGTCAATATTACTCTAAATTTAACTACTAATAATATATATATATATATATACACACACACACACACAGACACATGTGTATAGAAAAATGAGAATATTTTCTTTTTTATTTGAATATATGAATTTTTACATTTCAATATTGTTAACAAACTATCATATGACTAGTGTTGTTTCAAATGTGAGTCAAAAGAATTTCTTTATTTTTCGTTTCTTTTTTTTTTTTTAGTTTGGTAATAAGATTTTTAAAATTACACCTTGTATATTGTTACAATAATAAAATAAAAATAATAATAATTAAAATAACATTAATTATAAACGATTTTATTTTAATGTTTAAATAAACTAATTTTCAATTGATGTTATTTTCATTTTTAGGTTATATCATATGATTATGGTGGAAAAAAAAGTTAATATTTGTTTAATTATTATTATATATATGTTATATATTTACATTGTTAATGTAATATAATTATATTATTATAAACTATATTACAATATTACAAATATAATCATAAAAAAAGAATTAAATTATATCTAAGTATGTATGTTTATCTTTACTTAAAGTTACATCTTATGTTTTTCTTTTTTGCAATTAATTAAAATACTTTTAGATTCGACTATTAAACAATGCCAATTTAAAATGATTAAAATAACAAATTAAAAAAAAAAAAAAAAAAAGAAAAGAAGACATTTTCAACGAATCATTGTCACAATTTGTTAAGTTAAAAGAGATCAACTATCATTTGACTCTGAAGTTCTTTAAGTCAGTCTCTCTTAGAGAAACTATTAGTTGACTTAATGAATGAAATTTTGCTAAGTTCTAATGTCTTATATAAATTCTTTCACGCATGTGCCAATAAAATGAATCGTCGAGTTTCAAAGATCTAAAAAAAAACAACGACGACTAAGAAGAAGAAAAAGATGTAAAAAAAAAAGGTAAATTAAAACAAATAAAAAGATCAAGATAGAAGGAAGAAGCTGCGGTTAGTTTCAACGAAGTGAATAAGCAACTTCACACAGCTCTCTAAAAACCCGATCCAGGAGAGAGAGAGAGAGAGAGAGNGAGAGAGAGAGAGAGAGAGAGAGAGAGAGAGAGAGAGAGAGAGAGAGAGAGAGAGAGAGAGAAAAAGAAAAAATAATAAAATAATAAAAAAAAAAAGATTCACCGAGAAACAACCTAGAAACCTACTTCAGGTTCAACCCGTTTAAACGTGAGTGAAAACACCTACATATATATATATATATATATATATATATATATATATATGTATACAAGTAAATATATATATATATATATATATGTGTTTTAACATGACTTGCCATCATTTGTGTCGCCATTTATCGACACATATCATACCACACATGCTGCGTTTGAGAAACAATTACTTTTCCTTTTTTTTTTTATTTTTTTTTTATTTTTTAAATTATTATTCCTTTTCCTTATTTCTCAACTAACCACCACCACCCACTTTCATTTTTTTTTTGTATCATTGAAAACTTGAAACCAGAATTTTTTTCAAACTTGCCAACAATCTTTTAATTTTCATCTTCAAAAGATTGATCTCTTTTCTATTTTATCTTGAAACGAGTATACACTTGTTAAACTATTTTATTATTCTTATCATCACACGTTTGTCTCAATTTACAATGAAAATAAAAAGGATAATAATATTCTGATCGATAATTGAACATCCCCTTTCCTATCCTCAGCCATTTTTACCTTTTTTGTACGACACGTGCTTCCAAATGTGTTCCATATATTATCCTTCATGGAAAATACAACGTGTCCTTCCTTGTGTGTATGTGATAATGTTTTTATGATATATGTATGTATGTATGTATGTATATACGACGTAATGGTGTACTTAAAGTGATGTACATATACGTGAGTATGTGTGTGTATGTCTGTTTGTTTGTATGCACTTTCAAACGCGTGGTTTATCTTTGGACGGGGATAACCAAACAAAAATACACATTCGATGCGCATATTTAAAAACATTACCTCATACTTCAATATATCTCGTTAGTGTAAATACATGTAAATATATATATATATATATATATATATATATATTTTAAGTGAACGATATAAAAAAAAAAAAATTGCTTAGCAAATCATCCTGAATCATCTCTAACAAATAATTTGCTTTATAGTTCTAATTTAGTAAGTTGATTTACAAAAAAACGTTCCAGTATCTTTTCTAATTCTATTTTAGTATCTATCTATTTATAAATAAAGATTTGGTTAATTAATATTTATTTTAATTATTATTATTATTAAATATTTAATAATTATAATATATATAATAATATAATAATTTTAATTATATTATTAATAAAGGGTGTAACCTATAATATGTTTGCACTTATTATTGTAATAATTTATAATAATATATTATATATATATATATAAATTATTTATTAAATATATATAGATATATTAAATTATATATTTATATTATAGTATTATAATATAATTATATAATAATATAATAAAAATATTATCATATTAGTGTTAATGTATCACAGTTAGCAAAAATTAAATATAATATTTTCATAGAAAATTTGATTGTGTATTTTATTCTATTAATATTATAAATCTATATATATATATATGAAAGATTGTATATATAGTTAAGTTAATAAAATTACAATTTATACGTTTAATTAACAGAAATCGTTGAAATGTATTTAAAAGCATCGATAAAAGCAGTTCTTTCGTTCAGAAGACTGAGAAAGGCAAAGAATGAAAGAACTCACGGGTCACATAGCCAACTTGATTGCCTTTTTTTTTTATAAAGAAACCCTTTAACATGACAGTCAGACAGACAGACAGACATCTAACCAGTCAACCAACAAGAAAGAAAGAAAGAAATACAAAGAATTTAATAGAAGACAATAAAGATTCATTAACACCATACTTGGTTCAAATATGTCAGAACATTCCTTCCTACCCCCTACCCTCTACTCCCTACCCTCTACCCAATAACCAATTACATTAAAATGCATTATTATTTACCAAAAAAAAAATAATAATAATATAAACAATACAAATATGATAAATTTTTATAATTAAAATATGTTGGAACATACTTCACATTTTCATCCCCTATCCAATAATAACCAATTATTAGTTTATATTTTATATAAATAATATAAATAATATAAATGTGTTTGTAATAGATTTTTAAAATCGAAAAAAATTTAGGAACTGAGCAAATGATGGACATCTCTGTGTGTGTGTTTTCTTTTTTCTTTTTTCAATTATACTTAGGATTGGTTGTCCCATTGCCAACAGGAAGAAAATTCTCGAGTAAATATATTTTTACTGTGGTGGTGGTATTGGTACACATATACATATGCAATATACGCCCACGATGAAAACACACACACAACTTTTGATCTACTTTAAATTGTCATGCTCGAAATGATACCTGTCACGAGTCAACCACCACTACTAATACCACCTTTACCTCAAAACTTAAATGAAATTCTGATGATTGAAATGATGACGATGATGAAGATAATTATAACAGAATGATTTTATTACTTGATCATTGATCAAAGAATATATTTCACATTTTGATTTTTATAATTAAATTCTATTTCTTTTTTTTTTTTTTTTTTCATTATTATATACCTTGACCCTTTTTTTATTCCCCATTTTCTTGTTTCTCTGCAATTATATCTCGTTAAGTCTTTTTCTTTTTTTGAGAATCATTTCTAACGAATCACACAAATGGTTATTAAATAGTAATAAACGTAGTGATATAAAGTATACGAGAAAGTACAGTTATTATAAAATATGTAGAATGAATTGACAAACAAAAGACCTTTATTATATTTACGAAGAAAAGATAGAAATAGAAGTGCCATCTTTAAAGCTCGACGTAATTGATTTATTAAACGACTCTACTCTCTATACTCTAACAACTCCTACTCAATTTTC